GAGTTATTTTATATCTTAATCTGACATATTTTCATATAAAAAATAAAATATTTTATAAAATATTTAGTTTTTGATAATCTTACCGTAATACTTTTATGTACAGGAAAAATGAGACAAATCAATTGATATAAAAAACACAGATAATTATTTTTAAAAAAAATTCCTTGTGGATAATTACATACTTTTCCTTAAAAACAATTATTTTCTTTATACCAAATGATTTGTCTCATTATTCTGTACATAAAAGTATTACGATAATATTATTAAAATTTAAATATTTTACGATATATTTTATGTTTTATATCAAAATATGTCAAATTAAGATATAAAATAACTCGAAAAATATTTAATGAAATAATAATTTATTATAGTATTTTGAAATGGTCTCGACAAGGGCTATAAGAATATGGAATAAAAAATAGAGATTCCAATTTAAAAAATTCGACATCGCCCTTTTATCTAATGTACTTATTTTAATTTCAGTCATTACTTCTATCATATCTATTAGAAAATGTTCCCTTATTAAATAGGTTGTATTCAAAATAGCGATATTTAGATATCATGCATAATTCTTATAAAATCTTTAGCAAAATAGTAAAATATCGTACACACACGCTCACGCGCCACACATGCCGTGCGCGCACCTGATTCATGCGTAATCTAGAGCACTCATTCGTTAGTTTAAAGTTGCTTTCATTTAAAAAATATTGTTCAGACGCAATTTTGCCAAAGGAAAAAGTTGTTTCTTCTGGCACGGACAATCATGCTGTGTATTCCGGGTGCGCAATGGGACACCCTGTATATATTTACATATCTTATATTTCCAAAAACACATTAATAAAGAACTCATTTTATTTAATTTTATGAACTTTTTGCGAGATTTCATATTAAAGAAAAAAAAAGTTTGAACTACTCAATTATTGGTGAAGAAATGATTGAAAGCTATTGAAAATCAATAGTGTTTAATCGATTTTTGCCAATATAATATTTTTTTTGCAGGGATTCCTTATTAAAAATATTAGGAAGTTTCTGGCATGTTGTATGAATATTAATACAATGTTACGCGCAAGGTCTCTGGGATGTTAATGGAATGAGTTTGAACGAACATTTTCATGTCGCTGGAAGGTTAATGGCAGGTTTATTAATCTTCGTGAAATGTTACCATCTTACAATTTAAGGTGTAACTTTATTGGGATGTTGATGTGTTGTGAGGGATGTAATATGAATAATTCCGTTATCTCTAATTTTAATCTATAAGTTAAGAATTTTCTTTATTTTATAATAAATTGATGATATTATAGGAATATTAGTTAGACCTTGGGTGGCATTGTTAAGGTCATATCAAGGTCACATTAAATTTTTTAAATTGAAATCTCTATTTTTTATTCCATATTCTTATAGTCCTTGTCGAGACTTTTTCAAAATACTATAATAAAGTATCATTTTATCAACCGACGCTGTAGCGTCGCGACGCCAAGTATATATAAAAATTTGTTCAAGCTTGTCAACGGTTTGCCTATATACAGGGGCCGCGACGTTATCAAGTAGCTTATCCGGAGTTTTACGTCTAATAAACTTTCGATTAAAATTCCTCAGGAACCAAGCCGTTAATCAAAATTCTAACGGCACTTTTCTTATACAATACAATGTGGATGCAAAGCTTTCGATTCCGACCAGTTTGAATAAGATTGGTGCAGTCAATCCTGAGGAATGATAATCGTATACCAGAAATGTAACATTTTTCGTTTTCCATCATTATCATAATAATAAGGTTCAGTTTCATACTCTCACGTACGTGAAGCGTTTCATTCTTCGCGTCGATCTTGTTCTGCTTTTTGATTTTAACTATTAAATTATCATCATTCAACTTCATTTCTTTTTCGCCAATATTGACAATTTTTATCTTAGGTTTCATCCGCGGTGACTCAGTTACTTTGAAATTTTCGCCCAGCTTGGCTTGTACTGTAGCCTTTAATTTTTCCATTTCTTCTCCAGTCTCACAACCCAGAATCATTGTTCAATTGCTTCCGTTTTTTAGCTTCGTTACTCCCACAGGCATATTCTTGATGTCTATCTTTTCTTTTATCAATTTTTTAGTAACTTCACTCTCCTGTTGCATCTTAGGTTTGACAATTATAATATTTTCTTTTTTATTTTCTTTAACTGCATCACTATAACTTCTTTGTGCTCCTTCTGACGGTCCTGAAGTTCCTTCCTGTATCATTCTTCTCAATTCTCCCACTTCTTGTTTAAAATTTTCCAATTCTTGTCGAACTATTTCCTTAATCACCATCTTGACTTCTTTTTTACACGCTGTTTTATCTTTTATTTCCTTCACTATTTTTATAAGCCAATCTATTTTTACCTCAATTTCCGCTGATCCACTCGCGCCTGCTACTCTGTTTCCACTGCTTGATGCCGTACTCCCCGTTGATCTTCCTGTCGATGTCATAGC